TCGGGAGCAGTTAGTGGTTGGTGGATGGTAGTGGGTAGTGGTGGTTGGTGACAATGGTAGTGGTGATGGACAATGATGGTGGTGGTGGGTGTTCTTGGTGGTTGTGACGGTGATGGTAGTTGTGATGGTGGTGACTGGCAGCAGTGGCAATGATGGTGGGTGGTTAGTATAGGCTAGTAGGTGGTGGCTGACGGTGATGTTGACAGCGGTGGTTGGCGGCGGAGATAGGTTGTAGTGGTGGGTGATAGTGGTAGTGGTAGGCGATTGCAGTGGTGGTGGTGGTGGTGGGCGGCAACGACAGTGATGGTGATGACGATATTGTGATAATGATGATAGTGGTAATAAATATAAAAATTAGATAATGATAGAGGTTTTTAAATAATTTTTTTTTTGGTTTTTTGTCATTTAAATAACCTCATTTATTAAAGGGATTTTTGTCAAAGATTAATTTTATTATCTTTTGGCCTTAAAAGCGTTGGAGGTGGAGCTGCTACCAAATTTCCCAAAATAAAATTTAATTGCATTTGTGATATTCAAAAATTGATGTAAACCTAACCCATTCTCGAAAACTTCGTGTTGGTTTCATATAAGGGTGTTAATTTTACCAATTGATACAAATCCAACGCGAGCCTGACTCAACATAGAACCCAAAAATGACATGAATAATAAATAGGTCAAAATAAGATACATGAACAACACAACTAACGGGCAATGTGAGTAAAAAATAGGTATTTTATAATTCTTTTTAATTTTTTTATATGGTATCATATGACATGTTACAAAATTAAATAATTTTTTATTGACGTAAATACAATCCGTAGTGAAAGTGACACGATACAATTGATGCCATGTTTAATAAACAAATCTTGTATCAATCATATCTATTATTACTATCATAGAAAGCAGGGCCAGCTCACCGAAACCAATTTATACCAAACAAATCTAAACCCCTCAAAAAATATGAACTAAATTTAGATCAAATAAACTTCCTCCAACCAAACCCATTTGTTCTATCCAAAATTATAAACATTTTCAGTCATTTAAGTAATTTTTTTCACTACCCACTTGTTGGGTTTCTCATGTTCACCATGGATTTGCTGTTGCTAAGTTCTTTGGATGATGCAATTAGTTTGGTTTTAGGTATATGGAGGGATGTGGAAGATTAATGGTGGTGTTGTTGGGTTTGTGAAAATTGGGGTAGAAAAGTACAGAGAGAGAATTAAAATGTAGAGAGAGAAGGGTTTGAGGTAGAAAAAAAGGCATTGGAATGAAAATTAAATGGTTAATTTCGTCTTTTATTATTTTTACAAATTCTATAACGTCCATCTACACTTGCACTTTGTTTTTACGTATAAATTTTTTTTACCCCCTTGTGGTTTCGACTAGAAGTACATTACCTATTTAACGTTTAAAATTATGTACATTACCCCGTATGATAATGTACTGAAGTGAAATAATTGACACCGTTAATAAAATTAAAAAATTATCATAATAACCATGTTTTAAATTCAAACTTTTTGTCTGATTTACTCTTGATCATAAAACTAATGGAACATGACAACAAACCAATACATTTTTAATCTAACATGTCAAGTCGTTTTTTTTCCCTCAAGTGAGGTTTTGTTCTGGGCCGAAAACCACTTATGTTCTTTTTTACATATTTTTTTGATTTGGACCAATGCTCTAACTATTTGAGTATTATACCATATATTAAATGTTATTTTAGGAGTTGTTTGATAACACTACATAAGACTTAAAACTGAATACTTTAAGTACTTAATAAATTAAACTCGTTTGATAACCTAAAACTCATACTACTTAATATTTTAAGCACTTTTTAAAAATAAACAAAAATTTTAAATACTAAGTCACGTACTTATCACTTAATGCTAAAAATGATAATCAATAAATATTTTATCAATTTCTCATAATTGACAAATATACCCTCACCACCATTGTATTATTGCCACCACCACCGACACTATCACCACTACCACCATCACCACTGATGAGTGTAGAATATTGTATATCATGCATCTCTTTTGCACCCATAGTACTTGTTTTGTGATGAAAATTGGGGGAAATACTTTCAAATTCATAATTAATGAATATTCGTGTGATTGTAGATAAGAGTAGGTAAAGTCGTGTATAAAGCCTCCCATCAAGTGCTCAAAGGCAATGGAGAATAAGAGAATGTTTAACGGATGGCTTGGGACCTCAAAGAACCAAGGAAAACCAAAAGCATGACAAAACCTACCGGTAGAATTCAGTTAAAACCTATCGGTAGAAGATTCAAAACCTACCAATATAAAATGCTACTGGAATTCTTCTACCTCAACCATGCAAAAACTTACCGGTAGAAAATTTTACTAGAAAAAACCTAGTGGTAGGTTTTCTTACGTTATATCGGTAGGTTTTGTCCAAATTTGTCAGGCACCTGCTCACACGACTCCACCTACTCCAGGGACCCACCTCTTGTCATCCAAACCATACCATGACATATTTGACAACCTATGATGCTCTCCTAACCCCTAAAGTCAGATTTAAAAGAAGAGAGAAGGGAGAAGCAAGAGAGAGAAAATGGGTGGTTGATGAAGCATGGGAAGACCATGCTTGGACTGAACTTGCTTATGGAAGTGTCCAACCTCTCCCCACTCGTTGGAATTCAGTTCACACAACCTAAGGAAGAGGGTATGGACAAAAATCAAAAGTCTTACACCATTATTTAGATTTTAGATGTTTTTAGATAGAGAAGCTCCAAGGTTGAAGATGAAGTTTTAGAGAGAGAAATTGGATTTTTACATTTCCTTCAATATTTTCATTGTAGTAAGCTTTATTCTTCTTGTAATCTTTCCCTCTAAACTATTTTATTCAAGTTGTAATCAAGCTTAGTTAAGTGTTCTAGCATTTTTATTTTTACATTTGGATACTTTGTCTTCAATCTTTGTATTTTAAGTATGAATGAATTTGCTCTTGTAGTTTAAACCTTTTCTTGTATCAATACAAGTTTCATGTTTCATTTCACTACTATGTCTCTTTACATTATGTTTGTTCTTGTTTCTACTATGAGTAATTAGATCTTTAGTTGGCTAATTCAAGGGGAATTTTTTCTTGGGTATGTGAAATCGACTCTCTTTCATTCTTTCTTGTAGTGTAAAGTGTTTGGTTTGACTAGGTTGAGTGCAGACGTGGTTGTGAGCTCTTGATACACCGTAGACTTGTCACAGGGTATGTTTTTGTCCAACATATCCACATTAGTCCTTCACTTCCTATGAATCAATCAAATACCGAGATATCATTAGTTGAATGAATTGAGTCGATTTAATATTCCTATTGGAATAATTTCTATGGATTAGTCAACCTTACGTTCTTGCATTTTTCTCAAAATACAACTTACCAAAACACCAATTCACAAGATTTTTCAATTTTCATTTCTTTAAAAATCACTCTTCAAAGCAATTTGACATTGTCTTTCCTTAGAAGATGACCTTTGAATACCCATTCTAAGTAAAACACGACATTGCAAGTCTCTCTATGCTTGAGGAACACTTTTGCACACAAACACATTTTTGTTCACTCACATGATTTTTCTCATTTCTTGCATGGAACTCGAGGGAGAGTGACACTCACCAACTCGTATAAGCTATATACACACAATCCGGGCTCATGTTTCGCAACCATCACTGCCACCACCACCACCACCGTCATTACCATTGTGCTACCTTTATCACTGCCACTGCCGCCATCACCATTTATGCCACTGCCACCACCACTGACCATTGCCACCACCACCACTACCATTGTCGCCACCACCACCATTGTGTCATCGTCACCACCACTACTATTGTATTACCGTCACTATCACTACTATTGTGCTACCATCACCACCACCATTGTGCCACTGCTACCACCTCCACCACTGTTGCCACTACCGTCTCCACCACTGTCGCCACTTCCATCACCACTGCCACTACTATTGTGTCATCACCACCACCACCGTCACCATCACCATCGCTATCGTCACCACTACCATTGTACCATCGCCACTACCATTATCACCACCGTCGTTGCCACTATTGCCACCAATATTGTGACGGTGATGATAATAATAAAACAGTTGCGAAGAGATGATCAAAGAGAAGAGAAAAATTAAAATAATAATAATTTTCAGATTTCAACTCCTTATATTTATCAAACAGTTAGATTAAATTTAGGATTAATTCCACTAGAGGTCCACAAAATATGAGATTTGTCTCATTTTTGGTCCCCCATGCTTCAATTGTATAATTTTGGTCCCTAAAATATTGAATATGTTTCTATATGGTTCCTCAAGCAAATAACGTCTAGATTGTTAACAATTTTTTATCATAAACTTGTTATTTAATACCTAAATATAGACAAAAAAATAATTTTAATAGCGCTTAAACAAAATTTGGGTAGCTCTTGACAAACAAATGTGTAATATAAGTAATTTTTGACTAAAATTTGGATAACTCATGATCAAAACTGTGTAATTTAGATAACTATTTAACAAAATTTGAGTAAAAATTTGGTCAAGAGTTATCAAAATTATTTTTTTGTCCATATTTTAGTATTACGTGATAAGTTTATGATAAAAAATCGTTAGTAATTTGGATGATGTCTGCTTAAGGGACCATATAAAAATATATTTAATATTTTAGGGACCAAAATGATGTAATTGAAATATTAGAGACTAAAATGAGACAAACTCCATATTTTGAGGACCTCTATTACAATTAATTCTTAAATTTAATATTTAAATTTCAGTTGATAATAAACGGTCTGCGAATTAAAAAATTCAATATTCAACATTTAAAATTCAACATAATTTATTTTATCAAATACTACTTTAAGGCAAAAGTTCAATGACCCTAAGTACTGGGTTATTTTTGCATTTAACCCAAATCTATATAAACGGACGCGGTCCGGGTCACTGAGTGGTGACTCGCGACTCATTAACACTCCTCCGACATAAAGCGCGATGGCATCAATCGAACGCAAAGCCGCTTGGAAGAGAGAGAGATAGAGGACAGAGAAATGGCTCAGTGTATTCGAACATTAAACCCTTCCAAAATCCTCAAAGTTGAACTCTCACCTATCAATCAGACTTTCCCTCCACTCTCATCTTCGTGTAAAACCACACCAAAACGCAAGAAATTCCCAACAATTTCTGCATCTATTATGTCGAGCCAACAACCACCATTGTCTCTGGAGGCTTTAACCAGTAGTGATCACCGGGACGAAGTCATGGGTGCTATTAGGAGCTCACTGTACAACTGTCTTTCCGAAACCAATCTTCATCTGACGGTCCCTGGTCTCAAATCCAAAACAAGAGGCAAGGTAATTCATATGTCTTGGAACCCTAATCGAATTTCAGTCTAACAAGCATACGTGTTCATGCTCCGTTTGGTTGCTGAGAAAATGCAGGAAGATGAAAAGAAAGTGACATTTTAACTTTAGCTATTTCGTGGTTGGGACAAGAATGTTCAAAAAGTTTACTTCTTTGTGGGCGTAATGAATCTATTTTAACTGGGTTGAAGTGGAATTTTTAATTGAAAGAAAGGATAAGTACATATGTTTTAGAATTGATTTCTGTGTGTCTGATCTTTATGCATTTTCTCACCAATTTAATAGAGGTGTACTAGTGTTGCTGAGAAAATACAGGAAAGTAAAAGAAATAGCTATTTCGTAATTGGGACAAGAAAAAAAATACTTCTTTACGGGCGTAATGCAACTATTTTAACTCGGTTGAAGTGGAATTTTGTTTTGAAAGAAAGGATGAGTACATATGATTTGAAATTTATTCTTGTCTGTTTGACGTTTATGCATTTTCTCCGGAAGTAAATAAAGTAACTAGCATGGATGATAAATTTCTTTGTGGTTGGATTGGTTTTGAAGGTCAGAGATATTTATGATGGGGGGGATTATCTTGTTCTGGTCACAACAGATCGGCAGAGTGCATTTGACAGAATTCTTGCTTCTATACCCTTCAAAGGGCAGGTAATTTCGTTCTCTTTTGGTCCCATTTTCTTTGCAAGTACAATATTGATAGACTCGGACAATTATAGGTTGTGTGGGAAAGATTATTTCATATTGATGAGATGGATATTTTGATTCCTTGATATTTAATATGGTGGCTCTGGATGTTTGTGTTTGGTTTTGGTGCTACAACTAACAGGTTCTTAATGAGACAAGTTTATGGTGGTTTAATAACACTCAACACATAACTCCTAATGCAATAGTGTCGGCCCCAGATAAGAATGTTACGATTGCAAAGAAATGTTCGGTCTTTCCTGTTGAATTTGTTGGTGAGTTTTGCTGTTGCATCTGCTTTCCTATTTATCAGTTATAAGTATCAAACATGTGCTGAGATTGAGAATAATATCTTACTGGTGCCACATGGGAAGTTCCTGTTACTTCTATGCTTTAAACATCTTGAGTAGAACTTCTAATTGCTGTGCCAACATATCATTTTCCTTTTACTCCTATTTCACATGACGATGAAAATTTTTGCTGCCATTTCTTATACTTCCATGAGACTTTAATTCTTCAATCTTCATTGGATATTGTTTCTCGTGTAGTTAGAGGATATGTGACTGGAAGTACTGATACATCACTGTGGACGGTCTACAAGAGTGGTGTCCGAAATTATTGTGGCAATGTCCTCCCTAATGGTGCGGTTTACAACTTATGAGTAGATTCCTTCTTGTGTGAATTTCTTTGCTTTATAATGTTCTATGTCTCTGTGTGATAGGATTGGTGAAAAACCAAAGGCTATCAACAAATATACTTACGCCAACCACTAAAGCTGCAGATCATGATGTTCCTGTAACTCCACAGGAGGTTGGCCTTCACTAATATACTTGCTGTCTAATGTCAGGATCCTTATTGCCCCGTTCTTTTATGGTCTATAGGTTTATTGGTGGTCCTAAATAACCATGCCTGTTCAATTGATTCTCAAATAAAATGCAATGGAGTTTTCTCCTTCTTCCACAGAAAACCTCGGAGGAGTAGAAAAAGAAAAATTGGATGAAAGAGTAGAGATTGGGATGGTTTACCTATTTTGCTACTATTAGGGAAATAAATAGACAGTGCCTTTTTCCTTGGCCTTCTATTTTTCATTTATTTAGTTGCCTTCTCCATTTGCTGCTTTTGTTCTTGATGTTGTGCAACTTTTCTTCCCCCTCTCTCTCAATCACCTTCCTTTTCTCTAGTGCCCTTTCTCTACACTCATGAGTGAAATCCACATTTAAGATTGCCTACATCTATTATAGTTTCTTGTCTCCTATGGAATTTTATGCAAAAGTAATTCATGCTTGGCCATAATGTCGTTTGCTTCTAATGCTATAGTTTCCTTTAGTTTTACAAGAACTTTTTATTGAGAATTCTCATTTGATTTTGCAAAAGATGGTTTTACTTTACGTTTCCCCAGAAAAGCTCCTTAGGTATTATGGCGGTTTCCCCCCCTTTTTAAATGTTCATGACGCTAAAATCATGGTCTAACAGATTAGAACCCCAAGAATTCGAGTGACAAAGAATCTGTTTCTATTCTTTTTCTTTTTTCCACTTTTTAGTAAATTTATAGATATTGTTGTTTGTACTCCATATAAACTACTGCAGTACATGGCTTATGTATGACTAATTTTCCTTTCAGATCATTCAACGTGGGCTGATGAGTCAAGCTGATTATGATGAAGCAAGTAGGAAAGCATTAAGCTTATTTGCATATGGACAGGTAATCACGATGTTCTTTCTAAGCATCTGTATTTATCCTTCTTTGTAATAAATAGTTCAGAAAACATTTTCTGACCAATTTACTCACCGCATAGGAGTGTCACATATACAGATCATTATGTTCCGACCCACAGTTCACTATCATCTGTTCCTAGGAGCATACTCCTTTGTTTGCACTTGCATATGCACATGTTTGTTTTTGCAAACTTCTTATATTGGGCTTGTAGAGTTATCTAATTATATCCAAGTGTATGTGAAGAATGATACAAATTAAACTCACGAATAGAGATAACTTTCGTGGTAATTATAACAAGAAGGCATGACGTGCCTGTCCTGCTATCATTTTCAAGAAAATGATTGACTAGTCCTTTGCAACACGCAAACTGTAGTTGGATACAGTTTTCATGGTTGATCTGGCAACTGGAATCCTTCAAGAGAATTGCTGATAGGGAAAAGTGTCCCATGTATCCTTAAATGTCGATAAATTTCAACTTTTGATCACCATTTTGTGTAAGTTTGGCATGGTTGCTTTTGCATTAGTATGATCCAGCCAATACTATGTAGGTAGGGAGAACAAATTGCCTCATTTCTTTCTTAGAATAGTTGTAGCTGCATAATTTTCTGTACTGTGACTGATAGATACAACAATTCTCCTATGCTATAGCTTTTCAATGGTCTTAAGTTCGCACTGCTGACTAGGTAGTTTCTAGTTGCTAATTGCCATGGATTTTTCCTTATAACTAATTTTGATACTACCACTTCCAAGTAGATACCTTGTTAAATTTTAATGGTCAATGCATAGAAAGTTCATTTGTTGGTATTGTGCCGAGTGCATTTAGGTAGGTAACCTGTGTTATATTATGGTGACGTTGCCCATCTCTCTTACATCTTTGGAATTGCAGCGTGTGGCGCTGGAACATGGGCTGATTTTGGTGGACACAAAATATGAATTTGGAAAGGGATGTGATGGTACAGTGCTTTTGATTGATGAGGTCTCTCTCTCTAAAAACATGCACAACTTTATACACGTGTGCCCAAATGCTCTCACACACATTGAGATGAGATCTGATTTCTAGTCTTCCAATTTTAGGTGCATACACCCGACTCAAGCAGATATTGGATTGCTCATTCTTATGAGGAACGTTTTCAAAATGGTTTGGAACCTGAAAATGTGGATAAGGTTTGTTACTGTTCTTTGATTTTTGCTTGGAATCCCTTTGTTATATTGTGCTAAGCCAGAAAAAGACTGGCTGGCAATATTATATTAGCATTTCCCTTACTTTTATTAGAATTGTGGGTTTCATTCTTGTATCATGTTTCATATAATTAGTTTTTTTTTCTCATATGAATTATAAAGGCGCCTTGTGGACCTTTAGCAGTTTTCTAACTCCCAAAATAATCTTGTTAGGAGTTTTTGAGGTTGTGGTTTAAAGATCATTGCAATCCCTATGATGATGAGGTAAGTTACAGTTGAATGTCCAATGGAGTTTGCTATTAGTATTTCTTCATGTAAAAGATGCATCAAGTGCATACATCTAAACACGGTGATATGATTGTGAAGGTACTGCCTGATGCTCCTGAAGAACTTGTTTCCGAATTGGCCTGGCGGTATGTTTTTCATGTCATTTGCACTTTTTTGAACTCATGTTTAATTAAATGAATGCATTCATGGCCAAAATCATGTTGTTAACATCATTTTTGCTTTCTTCAGGCATGAAATATTTGATGATATTTGTGTTTTGAATCAGAGTGAAGTTAGCTACACGAGACGTTTTGAATTCTATGCATTCTACAAGGTTATTTTTTATCAAATGAGAAGAGCTGATACTGTTCTTTATCGACAGATACATATTCTTGTATGAGACAATAACGAAGTCAAAATTTGAGATACCAATGACAAAGGTAAAACTCAGCTTATCACACCCTGTTGTTATTAATAAGCCTATAGGTGACATAGTCTTAGTTTCTTTGTGCAGGAGCCCATACATGAGCGGATATCGAGAAACGTTTCGCAGGCTCTGTCATCTCTTCATTAGTTTCATCACGTCTAAATTATTTGCGCTTCTTGTGTCCGGACAATGAAGGACATTAAATCTCCAGATTGCATGGGGATCTACTGATTTTTTTATGAGATTTTTGTTTTCTCCAGGTTATATTATAGGATTTGAAATAGGGTTGGTAACAAGCTGGTTTGTATTATTACTCGGACACCATTGTAAATGATGATGCAAATAGTTATTTTTGTAACTGGGTCTGGTGGATGGTGACATTAAATGAATATTTTGATTACATTTTTTTTTCTTCACGTGCCTGTAATTTTGTTAGCAGATGCTTTCTGTTGCTAAGCTCATTTTGATCTCTAAAATTGATACCAACTTGTAATTTACTTCAATCCCCGCTTCTCCGATATTGATTCCTCTCTCGCATCGGTTCTGCATCAGACAGTGAGCCCATGCGAAAATTTTTTATTATATAGGCGTCCGATAGATAGGCTATTAGATTGAGTTAAAAACCTATGAAAGCATAAGAGTTTTGATTCGAGCGAGAGCCCAAGAGGGGGAGGTGGTAACATCTTAATCGAAAGTTTTACTGTTTTGAATAATGAGAAAGAATTTAAAATTTGATTAAATCAATTGAGAATTTCATCATCCGTTAGGTCGGTCAATTGATCGACCGAGTTGGGTGTTGGACGTCTATGTCACAAAACCTTTCTCTAGCCAAGAATCCCATTATTGATTGAATCAGAATGGATCCAATTCATTGACAAATAAAAAATCTATCGTATTAAAATTCATGAAAAAAAACCTAGAAAAGAGGAAGAGACACTTAGACTAGAGTTAGGTAAGATGTTCATAAAAAAAATACCTAGAAATGCTTAATCATTACCCTTATTAATTCCAGCAATGAAGCATCAATCCATACTCTTAGTCACACACACACACACACACACACACACACACACATATATATATATTTTGAACATATTTTATCTAACATGATATGAAGAGACCATGGTTGTGCTCTGTCCTTGGTTCCAAAATGTACTTGAACAATTTACTATCAAAGAATGTATCCCAGTTTAGTTAAAGTGCACATAAATTAGTCCGAACAACTCTAAAAAAAAATGTATACTACCTCGGGACAAGCTGCTAGAGCGCTACAGAAGAGTCCACAAGATCTAGATTGCTGCTGAGCATGATCTACTTGGAGCCTCACAAGGTGCCTGCAAGGGTCCACAAGCCTTATCTGCCGCTGGAGAGCAGCAGAAGGGTCCACAAGCCTTATCTGATTGCATTAGGCCCAATATCAGTCTACTATTAATAACTCTAGAAGACATTCTGCAATATAAAAAATTAAACATTTATCGTGTAATATTTATATTTTAAAAAATAATATTTTTTTTTACTTTTTTAATTACACAATTTAAAATTGAAGTGAACATACAGAAAATAAGAGAGATAAAGGAAAAGAAAAGAGAAAGATAGGTGCACATTAGTTGGTTTGTCCGGTATCGGAAAATGTGTTGGTGAATTGTTTGACATTAGAATTCGTGCAAAAAAAGATTTTTTTTGTACAATGTCATGGTTGGTACCAACAATGCTTTGGTGAATTATTGTACTGTTCTTCCCTCACATGCTTCTAATTATAAGATTTGGGTCCTTGTGTTGACTGTTTGGTCCTTTTCCTTGGAGGTAAGTGGTGATTCGGACCCACATTGACTGTGCATCTGAATTATTGAGACTGATATTGGACCATGTTGATTATCCGATGTAGTGTTTTTGTTTTGTTGCCTTCAAGACAGAAGAGTAATTTTATTGTATTAAAATTTAGTATTAATCTAATAGTTATAATAAAATATCATTATTAAGTTGTCAAATGAAGTCCTAGGAGTGTTTTAACAGTGTAACAATTGAAGTATGGGATGTAGGCCCCATATTTAAATGAGACCCCAAATTTCATTGGTCTCTCAATATGATGTTGGCCAAAAATTTCAAACCATTGAACTAAACCCTAAAAAGGGCCACAAGAAGGTTTAAATGTCTAACTCATTAACCTTGTACAATAATAATTGAAAAAACACACATTAAATGTTAATGCTAAACAAATTAATTACGCATCAAATCACTCTCATACAGGGGTGTCAAACGTGTCGGGTTAAATGAGTGACGGATAAAAAATATGTAAACTCATACACGCGTTTAATAAACGGGTTAAAAATTTCAACACGAATACGATCCATTTAATAAATGGGTAACACAACACGACTCGTTTAACCCGTTTAATTTTAAAAATTTTTTATCAACAATTTTTAATACTCAAATTTTTTTTACTGTCAATTGCATTTACTTCAAAAAAGAGGAATTTTTAGCTAAATCTCATAAAAATAAGATTTGAAAGCTTAAAAAAAAAAGAGCAAGAGGTCATTGCTTATTATAGGCAACTCAGTCCTCCCCATCTCCCGTCATTTTTTATTGTGGGACAAAAATAAAAGACATTAGTTTGTCTTTCTCTTTGAAATGCTCTCCATTTCTTCTCCTTTGTCTTTGAACTATTACTATACTTCTTTTTTTAATTGATTTCTTTATTTTTTTTTCTTTCTAATTTTTTAAAATAATTATTAATTTATTATCGGTTAAATATGTGATAAACGGTTTGACAGGTCTTACCCGAACACAACCCATTTATTAAACGTGTTTGACGTGTCAACCCATTTATTACCCAAACTCGTTAAGATCTCACCCAAATCTGCTTAATTCCTATCGATTTGTGTTGATTAATCGTGTCATGTCGAATTTTGATAGCCCTATTCCCATATATCACAATTGTCCTTCCCCCACCCCCAATAGAAATATTAAGGACGAGACAGGAGAATCTATTAGATAAATATTGCGTTTAAGAATTTAATGATTTTGTATTGAATTTGAAAACTTAAATTCATTAGACGATAGCAATTTAAAAAATATTGCCTTAATCTCAAGTGTTGACTAAATATGAAAGTTTTCTTTCCTAGTGATGGTGTACGTTGGTTTTGAGATTTAAATATCTTAACAAAAATTTTAACAAACAAAAGAAAACATCAGATACTTAATTATATAAAAATACTTTATTCTTTTTAAGTGCATTCTTTTTACAAAATATAATTATTAACATTTTACAACAATTTTTTCTATAAATATAAGCTTTTCAAAATTACAATTAATAAAATCCTTTGCAAGTTCGACAATGTCTAAGAAATATAAACCAAATTATTCGTTCTATATTAATTAAAAAAGATATGTTAGCAAAATTTAATACAAAAATGTAATAAAAAATTTTCATCCAAAAAAAAAAATTTACACAAATTGTTTTAGATAATTTTTTAAAGATAAAAGACCTCATTTAGGATAGTCCTTTTAGGCCTTCAATTGTATTGAACTATCTCTCCAATAACATGACCGAAGGAAAGAGCAATTCTATGTAATCTAAATCTGTAATTTAAATTTGTATTTCAAATGAAGGAAAATTATTAGATCAGTAGGTCCTATTTAAAAAAATTGATGTGACCACTCATCCAATGGTCATTTTGACGGAGTTGGTTTCAATACCGAAAAGTAAAATTCGGTACGATACCAAAAATTAAAACAAAATTTAACGTTGACAGGTGTACCGTAGTCTAACCTTTTACATAGTATTTCCCATTTTGCAATGGTTCTTGTATAGTGAAAAGTACAAATAGATGTTTTCTGAAGCAATCAAGTGATTATGTGTTGTTTTATATTCATTGTTTAACATATTTTAAAGCCGTGCAAGTTTAATTCAAAGTGGTTAATTTTGTATGATGCAAATCTGAGACATTACAAATATTGTGAATTGTTAGTCTTTTAGAGAAATGATTAGACACTATTATGGGAACGAAATTGACAAGATTCGAACCCGTGAACTTAAATTTCAACAACGGGAGCAGTGAGGATTAACTAATCGTTAACCTTAGGGATTTAATTGAAACTTGTTGAAATACGCTAATTTATAAATCAAATAGATCTTAAGAAAATTTTAAAACTCATTTAGTAAAACGAATTAAACTTAAACAATATCTTATTCAGCTCATCAGGCATGATCGTTTACAACAGTAGTATCAGCTGCCATCTCTGTTTCTGGAGTTTCATCACTCTTTTTCTTGCTGTGCTTTATCTCACCATAGAAGTAAGAAACGAAGCCCCAGGCAGAGAGGCCAAGAGCAACACCCTTTTCTCCTCCAAACTTTTCGTGGTAAAATATAACGGCTAACCCCTCCGTCACCGGAAGGAGAACGGCGATTATGATGCCGGAAAGCAAAGACGATGCACAGAAGATGACTCCTACTGCTCCCATGAAGAAACATTGCCATATGATGGCACTCCACACCACCACCACGTAGTAATTCGTTTCCCCCAGTTCAAACTCTCTTGCCTCCCTTGGAATGGCCTTCAAAATAGGAACATGTGTTAGTTTTCCACTACTTTTTTCGTACCTATTGAGAGTTATGATAAGTTCGAATTAAGTTACGAGTCAAGATCAAATTGCAAGTTAAGAGTAGATGTGCCAATGTTAAGTAAGCTGGTGAACTCAAACTTAGAACATAGAGATATTTATGCTTGAAGCATTAACATTCGAGTCACTCCAATAAGGGAGGCTTGAGATTTTGGCTGCAAAGGCAAGAATTTAAATTAGGGTGTACACTTAAACTATAAGTTTTAATTAATTTTTTAATTGATAAAAATAAAACAAGACATTCATATTTATTTATGTAGAGGCCAATTGTATTAAATAAAGAACAATCGTAGGTTAATTGCTTGAAATTTGATCCTTAAATTATACATAGAAGACCAAGAAAAACTATAAATATGTAAAACAATGTTGGGAAAATTTTAATAAAATAAAAAGAAGTTAGCATACAATTACAAAAATAATTCTATACTTTTATTTAAAAAAAAAAAAATCATGAACTGACTTCTAATGTGTCTAACTTGTATTTAAACATGTTTAAAACTTATCCGAAACATGTTCAAAATCATGTAGATGTGAGCCTACACAAAAATGAGAGGGTGGACACAATAATTTTTATCATAGAAAACATCTACTTAAAAAATACTTAATTGTTGTGAAATCGATAGAATATTAGTAAATAAAAATAATTTTTTTAAGAACTTAATACATCAATGTATTAATCTTCAAGATCACATTATTTTTTTTTTCTTATTTCTTTCTTTCTATTCTAATGGTACGCCTTTCTCATATCTGAAGTTTGCCTTTCACAGGCAGAGAATACATCTGAGGGCAGTTGGGGGTTAGGAATAGAAGCAATAACAGTAGCAATGTTAGTGGGTGACCCACGCACATGCCAATGCTTTATAACACTAACACATTTATATGACTTCTGACAAACATTTTAGGGTGGGCGAGGGGGTTGTGCCTACGTTGGTGGTATGAGCTCAATATGGGACAATTCGAACACTATTCATTTGACACTATTAGTATCATTTGATGTTCAACCATTATCATGGCCACTTTCCTTCCCACCAAACCTGCAATTGTTATTGCATTCTTAAACCCACTTTAGACCAAAACAAAAAACAGCAAAACAGGTCTCATATAATATGAGAACTCCAGTACATTTTTTTTTTGCCTCATGGTATGGACGGTGCTAGTAAATGACTGATTTTATGAGGAGGCTAGGGGTTTTAGATAAAAAGGGTTGATTATAAAGTTAACAGATAAATTAAATAATAATAAAGACAAGCTCTAAATTTAGATGTCTTGAATTTGAATACTGAGAATCACTTGAGGTCCGACCACGAGAGATTTATCTATAATGAATACTCTAATCCTGACATGGATAACTTGTTTTTAAAAAAAACGGAGAGAGAATTAATCGAAATGTGCGTAAACTAACCCGAACACCTCTGTTATACCAAAAAAAATAAATAAAAGGGTTGGGTTATATTTCTTAACGTCAACGTTTACACTGATCTGTACTTTGGTCCTTAAAACTTTTACAAGTCAAAAGTCACATGGGATTGTGTGTATGAAGTAAGAATATTTTATTGAAATTAATGTATCCGTATCGAATATCGTATTAGATACGATACTCGTCGAGTATTCAAGGATATATATCGGATACACCTTCTATATATCTGATAATAATTAAATATTAAAATAGTTCACTGATATTTTTGTGGTCGAGTAATATATATAATTTTTGAGTTAAACTTTTAACATCTTTTTTAAAATTCACATACCATACAATACATTAACAAAAAAATCATATTACTTCAAAAACACGTTAGTGTTTCTTAAGTATTATCTACAATTATATGTCAAAAGAACATAAAATAAACCTATTACATTATAATCTTAGCAAAAATTACTTCTAAATACTAGGTAAATATTGTCTTTGATTTCTTTAATTAGTCACTTCACTTTGTGAATATACTAAATCGATACGATATATTTTTTTGAAATTAAAAAAAATTATTAATTTTTTTTATTGTATATTAAAAAACTATCAAAATATATAAGTATTAAGTTGGTTAAAAATAGTAAAAATATTAAATATATTTTATTATAGCCGTATCTTGGCCATACTCATATTCTATTATTTTAAATTTTATCGTATCATTATATCTGTATCGTATCGTACCTATATTTCTTATATGTATCCGTGCTTCATAATAGTGTGAAAATAATTTCTTTTGGTCATCATTGTGGAAACATCACATGACTTTTTCATGAAACTACTGAGTGGATGGAATTGACACTAGGAAACAAAGTTGGAGGATGAAATTGAAAAGAAAAGTTAGGGACTTGGGGTGATACTTTGTGGGCAAAAGTGCTATTAACTAAAGACAAAGATAAGAGGAGACCTTTCAACCTATACTGGAACCGGTATCCTTGGTCGTATATACGTTGTATAGTCATCTTCATCTGGCAAATAATAAACCATGGCCGGCAAGTAAGCAGCGTGTGTCATGGTTCAAAGTTATCGACTTGATTATCAATTTAGAGGTGATTAAGATATGATAGTCGTGACATCACAAAATAGAATTAGATATTCTCAAGCTATGTTAGATAGAAAATAATGTTAGACATAATAAAAAATTCAGATCATATAATGACAGGATGAAAGGATGTATCGACTGAGTTGTCTAAGATGTATATGATTTAACCACAAGTTAACTAATAAAAATTGTGATTTACACAAATAGTACTGTTACATGTATTTAAACAGTAGATTTAAAAACTAGACTTGATAATCTCAACTATTGAATAGGTAGTGAGTTCTAATAAATACTAGAATTCATAGTGAAATCATTGGTTGAAATTATTAAGTCTAATAAATATCTATTTTGTCACCTAATTGGAAAGGTCCAGTGGGATAAGACTAAGAGTAAACCGATTGGGATTGATATAACTCATAGTTTGAATCATTGTTTGTTTGTGTGTGTGTGAGAGAGAGAGAGAGAGAGAAACCTGAAAGTCATTGTTGACAAGCATGCCTACGGTGCAGAGAAGAGTGGCGAAAAAACACATAACCAACTGAATCTCCATCACCAAAGTGTAGGTAATGGCTTGGTTTGCCTTAATGTACGTCCACTCAATCAATGGCAGAACAAACCCGTACAACGCCGCCGCCACAAGAGTTAGCATAAACCCTAAAATATACTCCTTGTTAGACTCTCCCTTCGGACGGTCACTGCTCGTGTGAAGGGCCAAAACCGCCGCTCCGACCGTCAGCAAAATCACGGCGTTTATCGAATAAGAAGTAAATTTTTGCTTAACGAGAAGGAAAGCAAAGCCGGCGGTGAAAGCCAACTGGGTGGCGATGATGAGAGCACTGGTTGAAACCGGTAGGCGAGCGACACCGTAGGAGTAGAGGTAGTCATCGAGGCCGGTGAGGAGGCCAACGACGGCGGTGTAGATGAACAACCTCGGTTTCATGAAGAAGAGCTTGGTGGTGGTGGTGGAGCTCCGGCGGTGGAAGTAGGCGATGAGGAGGGGGATTATTATGATTGGCCACCCACCGGTGGTTAGCCAGCTAGAGAACCATATTTTTTTGCCGCCATGGATAAAGTAGAGTCTCATGATCAATGGACCTCCACAGTTTCCTATTGAAAGTAGGATACAGTTTAGAACAAGGAGGATCTTCTTCATGCTGGTGCTAACTTGAGCTTGCATATTCGCTCTCCTTACCCTTTCTCTCTCTTCTGAAACTATTTCCGAGTGCTTACCTTTGATTAGATAGGAAAGGGGACAATGAAGGAAAGATGTTCTTCACGCCGTGGATGATTTATCACTTAGCCAGAAAGTTGTTCACTGCGAGGCCATAAATAGATTTTACTAGAGCATAGTAGTAGGCAGTGAAACGGTCGGTGTGGGACAAATTTAAGGTAGATTTTGGAAAATAAGGACAATTTATATCTATATCTGTACAATAAAATAAAAAACTTTTTTAATACATAAGGATTGCTTTCAAACCGAGGGTATATCAACAGAATAGGAGAGAGAGAGAGAGTAGAAATATGTCGCTACTGTAGTTATTTGTCTCTATTTGACCGTTCAAAATGAGCATATCGGTCAATTCCTTATTTTCATTCTCTTGTAACACTAAACTCAAAAAGAGTGCACATTTGACCGTGCATTTACACGAGACCATTAGTATTTGTAAAAAATAAGCGATTTTGTTCCGATTGTCCTTGGTCAATAGGTCTTTAGATGTCAAAATCCAAGAATAAATTATAATTTAACCCCTATGATATTTCTCATAGCAACTCACCTCTCATTATGTCTCAAATAGGATTATATAATTCCCTTATGTTATTAGACCAGTATAAATAATTAAACTATTATCGGCCATGATAAAATTACTTGTAATTTAACTTGTAGAGAGGAATATAAATATAAATATTTAACTATTACTTTCTTTCATGTGTAAAGCCCCTCTTCGAAGGTACAGGTATGTATGTTTTAAGGTATTAAGTACATGTATACACAAACATATGAGAAGGCCGCTATGTCGAAAACAATTTTCAACCTGAGCTTGAGCTTGAGAAGAAAATTACCGGTTGACCTAATGACTACTCTTTTCACTTTAAGACTTTAAGATCGTAAATTTGAATCTTGTCGTCTTTCTCTCCCTATAATAGTATCTGGCCAAACGAACGATTTACATATGGTTTGAAGAGCTAAACTATGATCATCTTATTCGAGAAACTGAAAAGGTCGAATAGCAAGACCCAACACATTCAAAACCCAAAGTGTGGAACCAACCCACTCGTGAACTTCAACAAATTGTAATCAACAGTTTATGTTTTATGGGTAATTTTACGATAACCAAAAAAAATTTAGTATCGCACTGAATATAATTGTTTAAAGTCAAGTTCTATTTTTTAAAGATAAAATTATAATTAATTTTTTTATAATTGATCATAAAATATTATGATGAATTATGAATAACCTCGGTAAAGAAGGAAAGAAGTACATTTCCTTCAAAAAGTCTCACGGGCTCGAAGAAGTGTTACACCAGCATGCATGTGCATTTTCTCCTTTTACCAAAATTCCTGTATGTGCTCGTAGGAGTTGAATACTGTAATGAAAAATTATTTTTTGATATCATATTTTTTTTTTATTTAATGATATTGGGACATGTATATAATTTTTTATTTTTTTGTATACTTTACTCTTTTTTTCCCCCAATCAACCGCTTCAAACAAATTAAGAGGAACCTTTCATTATCATAGTGTTATCTAATTAATAATATTTAATATAATTTGTTAACATAATTCATGAATTTAATTCATCACAATCATTAAAATAGATAACAGATCGCTTTACAGGCTTGTAGAGGTTGTTGAGATACAAACAGTTTTATTCATACACAATGAATTAATATGGCAGAAACATAGTATTTCACACAAGCTAATGATCAACTTTCAACAACTGGTTCTGGTCTTCAAATGCCGAAGTTCATATGTATCTTCAAATGACGAACAAATCTTCAAAAAATAGATGTTGATGATCTTACATCAAATGGGTTGAACAGTAGGATTTTTCCTTCAAAGACGAAACTTTATAGATGTTCAGGAACAATTTTAGTGGTTTTTGGGGAGGCAGAAAAAGCCCAAATATTTTCCGAATATGAAGTGTTTCGTGAATAAATATTCTTAAATTTTAGCAGTAAACCATTATAATTTTATATCTAATTAATTAATTCATTAGTATATATTCCTAAAACCGTTTTAGGAAAGTAAATTTTAAGATAAAGAAATTTGAAAATAAATGTCCCTAAATTTCAACGGTTATGATCAATTTCTTGTTACAGCTTTCAGGAAAAAAAAAATTTACAAAATGGGTAGTTAGGTATTTGTTTCTTAGCAATGTACTTCTTTTCAAAACTTTTTTTTTTTTTGTATATATTTTTTTATAATTATATTTAATTTGGTGTACCAATTTTCAATTCACCTTTTATTGACAGCCAAGTTGCTCCTCAAAAGACCAGTGGACTTTGTTGGCTGGGTCAGCCCGTGGCCGGTAGGGTCGTTGGGCTACCAAGTGCAGCACGGGCCATTCACACCAATCGTTTAACAAGTTGTAATTAGCATGCGGCAGATTGGACCAGCCCGTGGTCGCCGGGTTAAAATCGGACGAAAACTGTTTGCCGATGGTTAGTTATTGAATTAACTTCGCAATGACTCCTTTATATGCATTTGGGTTGCATTTTTTTTAAGTTTCATTTGAATTTTATAGTATTGCTCTTTCTTAAATATGTCATTTGTGTCAATTGAGTTTTTGAACTAAATTTTTTGTTAATTTAACCCCTCAACTATGAAAATAGAATGAATTTGGCCTTTTGTTAAAATTTACTAGTATCTCTGATAGAATCTTGATGGAATCTTCAAGTGCACGTCACATGAGTCATAAATTAAAATAGTCAAGATTACACACGTGATATGTACACAATATTTTTTGTTAAAGTTAACAGTAAATTTGGATTGACGAGGTACATCGAGTCAAGTTACATAATTGAGATGCTAAATTAACACAAAATGTTCGAAGAATTTGTGAATTTTAATGAGAGGCCACCTGCCAGTGGTTAGCCAGCCAGAAAACCATAATCTTTTGCCGCCATGGATGAAATAGAGTTTCATGATCAATGGACCTCCACAATTTTCAATTGAAAGTAGGATACAGTTTAGAAAAAGGAGGATCTTCTTCATGCTGGTGCTAACTTGACCTTCCATATTCTCTATCCTCACCCTTTCTCTCTCTTCTGCAACCAAATTATTTCGGAGTGCTTATCTTGATTAGATAGGAAAATGAATAATTGAAGAAAGATGTGAGGCCATGGATGATTTATGGTTTAGACAGAAAGCTGTTCTCTTTGAGGCCATTGATAGAGCTGCTAGAGAACAGTGGTTGGCAGTGGAAGTGTTGGTGTGTGTGTGACAAATTTAAAGAGAGACTTCAAGGAGAAACTCGGACTTTAAAGGACAAATTTGGTGAACTAACTTTCCCATAAAGATATTCAAAATTTAGAGTACTTACGACAATCTATCTATCTAATAAAATACAAAGTTATGGGTCTAGTTCAAATAACTCAATTTATGGAAAAAAAATCCAAGCTTATAGAAAACCAAGCAAGCCCTATGAGGTCGAAGACGGTCAAGCCCATCAAAGAGGTACGGGAGCATTCAAGAACTATACTTTTGCCCGTTGAAAAAGAGGAGAGGTCGCCAGGGAGAGGAGAGGTCGGCAAGAAGAGGAGAGATTATCAACTATTAAGTTGCCTTCGGCCCGTTATAGCTGTCAAGCTACTCAATTATTACGCAGGTTTCTATAAATTGTAAACTCCCCAACACTTGGGAGGCATCTCAACAAAATCAAACTCATCTTCCTCTCTCTTGTAATTCTTGCTCTCCCAACACATCGGAGTCAATAAAATTTCAGGCTAATCTAGCCATTGAAAATGGACGTAGATCTCATTGACCAAACCACTATAAAACCTTGTTTTCTCTCTCCCTATACTTACTACATTTTATATTGCTTAATTGATGGGTGGTGTGCAAATCAATTTTGTGCATCATCACAAAAAATTTCAAATCTCTTAAAACAAAAATAAATGGATTTGCCTCTGACGAGCGTGCGTACCCCCCTTCCCCCTCAAACAAAAATAAGCTATAAGGGCAAGTCTTCCGTGATACGGGCAAATTCTTGCCTCGTTTTTTAAAACCACTTAACAATTCAACATTTTTATCCCATTGTTAATTTTTATTTTTTACGGTTCAGATCGTGATTCAATGGTTGAAATTCCACTATAAAATTTTATCTTTTCTGCCTATTACCCTCTGTTTCTAATGCCCAATCAATGTCTTGATTCCCATATAATATTCCATATACAACCCTAATTCTCATCCCTTTTTTGTCTCTCTCTCCTCTCTGTTTCCCCTGGTATCTGCCCTAATTCTCGTCCCCCCCCCCCCTCTTTCCCTCTCTCTCTCTCTCTCTACTATCTTCTTAAAATGTAGTAATTGTTCTTGTATAGGGACAAGTGCAAGTTGGTGGCTTTTGAAGCAATCAAATGATCTTTTTCCTCAATTCCCCCCAAAAAAGCAATGAGTATTCCAGCATAGAGATATTGTCCATGTTTCACATCTCTCGGTGTGATATGCGTAGGATGTTTTTATAAATGTGCACTCTGAACTTTTATTGTTTAATGCATTTTTGTGTAGGTTTAATTCATTGTGAATCATTTTGTACGATACAAATTCGGGACATTAAAAATATCGTAAACTGTTATGGTGAGCATCAATTATTGTAATCTTCTAGAACAAGCAATTAGATCATTAGTACTGCAAATTCATGAAATTTAAGTTGGTATTGGCATTTTATCAGTAAATAGAGTGGATGTGTGTTCAAGAAAGCTTGATACCATAATGTTTGCAGCAGGTCGATATGCCAGAAATGAAATAAATTTTTTATCTGGCTATCTACTTGCTTCCCTTTTTCCCCTTGTGCAGTTGATGATCTTGCCTTGCCCTTTGCAGTTGCTTGCAGTGTTAATGTTTTGTGTCATGTCTTGTTTTTAAATTGTGTCAAAATTTGTTCAATCTATATACTTCTTGTTTATAGTATTACAGAAGTCTTGTTTAGTTGAGTTCTTATTGACTCATTTATCATTAGTGTTAAATCATGTGTTATTCTTGTGTAGTTCTATTGTACATTTGATGAATTATCTAACAGACATTCAATGCCAATAGTTCAAATCGACATGTATTAAACAAACCGAGCTCAACCCAAATTTTAGCACTCTTTTATTAAATAAGTAAAACTTGAAGAATGATTATTCAACTCATTATGCATGATCACTTACAACAGTATTACCAGCTGCCATCTCTGTTTGTGGAACTTCGTCACTCGTTTTAATCTTGCTATGTTTTATCTCACCATAGAAGTAAGAAACGAAACCCCAGGCGGAGAGGACAAGAGCAACACCCTTCTCTCCTCCAAACTTTTCGTGGTAAAAAACAACGGCTAAAACCTCCGTCACCGGAATAAGTACAGCGATTATGATGCCGGAAAGCAAAGACGATGCATAGAAGATGATTCCTACTACTCCCACGAAGAAAAATTGCCAAATGATGGCACTCCACACTACCACCACGTAGTACTTTGTTTCCCCCAGCTCAAATTCTCTTGCTTCCCTTGGAATGGCCTTCAAAATTATGAAATGTGAGACTCCTGTCATCACAAAACTTAGATTTTCTACTACGTTTTTGTGCCGTACTAGGAGTTATGATCAGCTCAGCCTCAGATCAAGTTACGATTTAAATAGGTCTAATTAGGAGTGTCATAGCATGTGCAATTTCGTGGCTTGATATATGTGGGGATTGATGAATTAGTCATAGCATGTAAGAATCTCCGTTACATGCATTAGTCAAACTTACTTTTGAGTTTTGTGAACCACTTATTTTCTTACACACTTGTCTCTTATTCGCATACGCACATGTCAGCTCGTTCGCCTCACACAGAGCCCTACCAGCTCTCTCAGCTCATTCTTGATTAAAAAAAAAATGTTAGACAAAACAAGAGATTCCGGTCAAATAACAATATCAAGAAGTGAGTACCTAACTGGACTGTCTAAAAATGTCTCTGGTTTAACCACAATTTACACAGAATGTCTATTTCATCTCTGAATAGAAGTTCGTATTGGTATAACTCATACTATGAGAATTGTCGGTCAAAAAAATATTCATAAATGTAGTAAAAGGAGGTATAATATCATTGGTACTGTTGTAATGGTAAAAATACTCAATAAAATATTCAAAAAATGTGATAAATCACTCATTAAAAATGACAAGGTTTTTTGTACCTAAAAGTAGAAAAAATAATTACCATAATAAAATAAAAATACTCATAAAAATGATAACTCACTCAAAAAAATATTAATTTTTTAATTATAAAATAACCCATATAAAAATACTCGTTGAAGTAGAAAATTTTGAAGTTCCCATACAGAAATTATTATTATTTTTGTCTCTGCAGTAGTCAAGTCCTATACTTTGAACATGATGTTTGCGTTTGCGTTTGCGCTTACGTTTGTTTTTGGGGATTTGGGGGTGGGGGAGGGGAGAGAGAGCTACCTCGAAGTCTTTGTTGATAAGCATTGCTACCGTGCAGAGAAGAGTGGCGAAAAAACACATGACCAGCTGAATCTCCATCACCAAAGTATAGGTAATGGCCTGCTTTGCCTTAATGTACGACAACTCAATCAATGGCAGAACAAACCCGTATAACGCCGCGGACGAAAGAGTCAATATAAACCCTAAAATATACTCCTTGTTAGACTCTCCGTTCGGCCGGTCACCACTCGTGTGAAGGGCCAAAACCGCAGCTCCGACCGTCAGCAAAAACACGGCGTTTATCGAATAAGAAGTAAACTTTTGCTTAACGAGAAGGCGAGCAAAGCCGGCGGTGAAAGCTAAGTGGGTGGCGACGATGAGAGCAATGGTTGAAACCGGTAGGCGGGCGACGCCGTAGGCGTAGAGGTAGTCGTCGAGGCCGGTGAGTAGGCCAACGACGGCAGTGTAGATGAACAACCGCGGTTTCATGAAGAAGAGCTTGGTGGTGGTGGTGGAGCTGCAGCGGTGGAAGTAAGCGATGAGGAGGGGGATTAGAATGAGAGGCCACCCGCCGGTGGTTAGCCAGCTAGAAAGCCATATTCTTTTTCCGCCATGGATAAAGTAGAGTCTCATGATCAATGGACCTCCACAGTTTCCGATTGCAAGTAGGAGACAGTTTAGAACAAGGAGGATCATCTTCGTACTGTTGCTAACCTGAGCTTCCATATTCTCTCTCCTCACCCTCTCTCTCTCTCTCTCTCTCTCTCTCTCTAACTATTTCCCAGTGCTTATCTTGATTAGAAAGTGAATAATGGAAGAAAGATGTGAGGCCATGGATGATTTATGACTTTGACAGAAAGTTGTTTTCTGCAGGACTTCTAGGCAGGGGCGGCTCGACACAATGGCGTCTAAAGTAAGAGATTTTTTTATTTTTTTAAAATTATTTTAAATTTTTTTGTTTTCGTCTTTTGAGATGAAAATTTTTTATTACTTTTTTGTTTTAAGTTTTTTTGACACATATTTTTCGATTGATATTATGAATAATTTGGCTTAATATTTCTTAAACGTTATTGAACTTATGAATGATTTTATTAATTTTAATTTTAATTTTAAATTTTTTTTGTAGAGAAAATTGTTTTAAAATGTCAATAATATTCCATAAAAAGAATGCATTCAAAAAGAATCTAATATTTTTACATAATTTAATATCTCAAGTAAGATATTCTTTTTTGTTTGTAAAATTTGTGTTAAAATCCAACCTAGATCATCAATACTTCATATCTGGTTAAAAATCGAGATTAAGGCAAAATTTTTTAAGATTGTTATCATCTAATGAGTTTGAGTTTTTAAATTAAACAGAAAATCACAAAATTTTTAAACTCAATATTATCTATTAGATGTGTCTAGTCCTTGATTTTTTATGGGGTTATTTTTTTTTAATGAATTATCCATTATATATGTTAGATTGGTTTTTTTAGATTATAAGGAGAGACTTCTTTGCTTGGTTTTTTTAAAATTATAAGGAGAGACTTCTACAAGAAACTCATAATTGGGTTTTATGGTACAAATTTGGTGAACTAACTTTCCTCAAAAGATGTACAAAATTTCGGGTAATTAAGACAATTTATATCTTTATAATAAAATAAAAAGGTTTTATGATAAAATTGTGTACACTTTTCTAAAAAAGAGTGCACACTTAGTGGTGCATTTACACGGGACCTCTAGTAATGGTAAAAATAAAAACTAGGCGACTTTGCTCTCATGATCTTTGGACAATAGAGTGCTCGAGCATCAAAATCTAACGAAAAATTCTATTGTAATCCCTTTGATATTTTTTATAGCATCTCATCCCTCATTATGTTTGGAATATGATCACATAGTGTTTTGGACTAATATATATGCCCCTCTCCCAACCCTCAGAACTATTACCCTAGAACAGGCAAACCTGGTAACCCTTTTCTCCAAAGCCCTAGAAGTGCAACCATTAAAGCCCCTCTCCCAACCCTCAGAACTATTACCCTAGAACAGGCAAACCTGGTAACCCTTTTCTCCAAAGCCCTAGAAGTGCAACCATTAAAACCCACCATTGCGACACCCACCAATGAGTTGTTGGTTCGGTGGGTAAAAATTTGGATTTTCTCGCTTAATATTTGAATTCGAGAATAAAGAATGTAGGAGGACAATGGTTGGAAGATGAACAAGGTATTACAGATTGTGCAGTGGAATTTTACACTAATCTTTATACTTCTGAAATACATAACTTGGATGGGGAGTTGTTTTTCTTTCATACCTAAACTGGTCAATGATGAAGATAATTGTATGCTCACCTCTCCTGTCACCATTGAAGAACTGAAGAAGCCTGTTTTCTCTATGTCGGTTTATAGTGCTCCTGATCCGGATGGATATTCAGGTCAGTTTTTCCAGTCTGCTTGGCATATTATTAATGTTGACTTACTTGCTGCTACCAATTTTTGCTTTAAATGTGGGGAAGTGCCTAAGTCAGTTAATGCCACTTTGTTATCACTTATTCCAAAGAAGGAGAATCCATAGACCTTTGCAGAATTTAGACCAATAAGCCTATGTAACTTTCTATATAAGATCTTTACAAAGATTTTAATTTTGAGGTTGAGTACTTTGTTGCCTAAGCTCATTTCAGAGGAACAACAAGGCTTTGTAAAGGGGATGAGCATTTCAGAGAGTATAGCACTAGCTCAATCTATGGTGATTGACTTGGACAGGAAGGTGGAGGTTGGAAATTTAATTGTAAAACTGGACATGATGAAAGCAAGGGCTGGTTCACTACCACCATACAGGTAAAGGATCACTGAAACTGACTCATTTGTTTTTAGCAGATGATACCCTAATATTTTTGAAAGGTAATAAGAAGTTAATGATTAACCTACTGAAGTTTGTGAAAAGATATGAAGTTTCTTCAGGGTAGCAGATGAATCAGTCGAAGAGCTCTTTATATTGTTTTGCTAGGATGTCCTTAGCAAGGAAACACTCACTCTCTAATACAACTCACAACCCCTTGAAGAATTGCCCTTTCACATACTTAGGTTGCCCAATTATCAGAGGAAGAATTAAACTTATTTACTTTGAGGAGTTGTTGAGAAAATTCTAGTTGAAGCTTGAAGGGTGGTATACAAAGATGTTGTCTAATATGGGTAGAATAGAATTAATACAATCAGTCTTGTGCTCTATTCCTATTCATTTACTTGCTTCCCTAAATTTGCCTAAAGGAATTATCTCTAATTTGAACTCTGTTATGGCCTCATTTCTTTGGTCTGGTAAAACAAATATGAATAAAAGACACCGGTGTTTTTGAAAAGTTATTACTATGCCTAAGGAGGAAGGAGGATTGGGAATAAGGAAATTTGAGGATGTGCAATAAACATTCATAATGAAACAGGTATGAAGTTTGCTTAATGGTAAGTCAATATGGTCCATACATTTCTCTGCTAAATATTTGAAAGACCAGCATATGCTTACTAACTCCGCACACAACCATCTCGGGAGTTATAGGGATTTTGCCATATTTTCGATCCACCGTATTCTCATCTGATAAATAGTTCAAGCAATAATAATAATAACATAATATAATTAAATTTATAATCTTTAGGCGATAATTAAAATCAATTAAATCTTACTCATTTATAAAACTCATGAATTTATTATCACTATCACCATTCAACCATAAATGACACAATATAATTATAAATTTAATCACGAGATGTCAAATATTTTATATAAATATACACAGAAACATACGCACACGCATTTTTTTTTATTACTAATAAACCCTTCTAACCAATAACTAGTTTTATTAGAAATACAATAATTTAAGTTTTTAAGATAAAATAATAATAAATTAATATTTAATTAAAAAAACATGATAAAATTTACGAAGATCCCCTAAGTTTTGACAATATTATATGGATACCTCTTGACATTTTATAAATAATAAGAGGAGACCATCTGAAATTTGAATTCATTGCACGAAGACTCTTTTGGTCTCTTTTCCGTTCATGTTGCTAATGAAAATTAATAATTTCATCCTAAAAACCTTTTATTATTTTTATAATTGTCCTTCTCAAAATTTAGTACTAAAAAAAATTAAAAATTTAATAAAATCAAATAAATTTTGATTTAATACCAAAAATAAATTGTTATAATTTAGTACTCTAAAAAATTAATTAATTAAAATTTAATATTAATTTGATAACAACTTGGGCCAAAAACAGATTCATATTCTACTTCAACTTAACACATTGTCGGCTCCGGCTCCGGCTCCTCTCCATTTTTACTAGAAATGGAAGATCTTCCAGTTTTACACAATAATTAGACACGTGTCTCATACTTTTTTGTAGGGCTAAGATTCAAGAAAAAAAATTACAGATAATGTATAATTTAAAATTTGCCTAAAAAAAATCTTCAACAGCTGCAAAAAAGGGCAAAAAAAAAAAAAAAACGCTAAATATTCATTATCATAAAATTAACTGGTTGCATTACTTCATTATTTGTCATCGGTTTGGCTCTAATAAAAGTAGGGTTCCAGATTTTCATTGTTCTTTTTATTGACTTGCACTGCATAGTTTTTGTGGAAGAAGCAATGCAATTTGGACTTAATACAGTGTAAATTGCATACTACGTATATGGACTTAGTAAGCGAAAGTTTTAAGTTGGGGTCCCTTCAAAATTTACTAGAAAAAAGTATTTATTTTATTATAATTATATTTAAATATTGTTTATCTTGATTTTAATTCTATTAATGGTTAGGTTTTTATATTAAAATTTTACCAATATCTTTCTTAATGGATTTTCTGATAATCCCTGTTAATATCTTACATAGTTAATTGAAAGTGAAATTTTTAAATTTTTATTTTAAAAAAAAATCTGTAAAACAATTAAAATAAGTTCTCTACCTCCAACTCAAGAAGCTTTTCCCCAAACCCAGCCCCCTCACAACCTAATTCCATAACCTAGTCACTTTTAAACTTAATTTCTAAATCCAGTTTCTTTTTAAAAACATCATTTGAAATGACGTCTTCTCCTCTAAAAACGTTATTTGGAATGACGAATTGAATATGATTTTTTTTTCGCTAAAACGTCATTACGAATAACGTTTTTAAAGTCGTCATTTAAAATGACGTTTTGTAGCAAGAATTTTTAACGGAGTCTAATAGATGTTTAAAAAAATAAAAGGGTTAAAAACGTCATTTAGAATGACGTTTTATTCCCTTTTTTTTAATCACCTTTTCTACCCTTTAACCTTTACATTGACGTTTTCTACCTCTTAACCTTTTACATTAACGTTTTCTTAGCCAAAAGAATCTAACCACCAACTTGTAATAAATTTCATAAAAGTTAAATAATCTCACCTTATGTCTCACATCATAATTCACCTGATCAAAAAAATAAAAAAATAAATAAATTTTAGAATTTAATTCCCTTTACATAAAAATTTTGAACTTATTTTATAATCGAAAATAAAATTCATAAAAGCATAATTTAATTTCATATTTTTCAATATAAAAACATATTAGTAAAACATATATTTAATAAAAAAAACTTAAAAACGTGTCTTGAAAGCACATTTCTATATCAAAAAACATGTTTTGTATATGTTAAAAATCTCAATATTATAATTTCACTTCCCATGTCATAAAAGCATCCTAATTTGGAGGAGCTTTCCCCAAATCTGGTCAGCCTAAAATTTTATTTCCCATACTCAATCTTTTTTTAAAAACGTAACTTAAAAGTCGTGGTTTTTAAAACCGTCATGTGGCGCAGCATGCATGCTCCTCCACCAATCTCACAATCAGCATGTTCACCACCAACAACGACAACAATAATATTAAGACGAGAAGTTTTGCAAAACTCCACGAAAGAAAATGAACAAGAAAAAAAATTGAATGTAAGAGCACAGGACAGACAAAGAGAACAGAGAATGTGTTTAAAGATCAACATAAAGAATCGTTCAGCAGTGTTGTTCAAATCAGCACTCTAAGCTTTTGCAAAAGAAAAATCTGTCAACCTTCCCTCTAAAGCAAAGGGCAAGGACATGCAAGTATGTACAACTACAAACACAATTGCTCATCAGACTATATACACTTTTGAAAAGCTCATCAGCTCTACAAGGGCTTCCCTTCAAGTAAGACAGACACACAATTAAAATAGGGGGAGAAAATTAGATTGTTCGAATTGTTTCCATTACATCGACAGTATAGGTGATCGTTGTCCTTAAGCTCTGAAACTCCTAGCATGGCCAATGCTAAATGAGTCTTCATTTTGTTTTTTGTCTGCTGCAACTGAGAGTAGCAATCGACAATACAATTATTACCAGGGAAGCCAGACTTCTTCCTGTTGGGGGAATTAGATTCTGCTCCTCTCAATATTGAAATAATTTCATCAATGTTGGGCCTCCGGGATTCTTCGTTATTTATACATGCAGCTGCAGCTTGAACCATTCCGGTTATTTGTTTTGAATTTTTTTTAGCGAATGTGAGCCTTGGATCAAGCAAAACTTCAATGGTTCCTTGCTGCAATAATGGCTTTGCCTGCAAATTTATGAAATCAATATCTCTGCTGCCATTAATATTGAATAGAAGCTTAAATTAACAAGCACCTACTACACGCGCAAAGTTTCATTATATAACAGATACTATTTCAATGTCCTCCGTAGCTTCTTGAAAGGCACAAATGGATCCAAAATAGTGTTGTTTTGAGGAAAATTAGAGCACCAAGGTAAATGGCATGTCAAGACAAGGAAAAAGAAAAGACAATTGAACATCACCAAAAATGAAGTGCAATATTCGACATGACAGGTTTCTTCTTCATATCTTAAAAATCTTCAACAGACAGCCTCATAAAATCAAAGTGAACTGTGTCAAATGCTTAATCCAATATAACAAATCTTTCCTTTCATGAATGGGATACGGAAAAAACCTAAAGAAATGTATGTCCAAATTGGAAGAAAATAGTGTTCATGTTGATTCTGAAATAGTTCCAAAATTTGGTAAGAGAAGTAAAAGTCTAAGCTCATATAACACTTGAAAATAACCAAATCGTGTGGTTTAGTAGGATAAATGATGCAAACGATTACCATAAATTTCAACCCATAAACGAGAAAGAGTTCACCAAATCCAGCAGAGAACTAGGACACCATACAGAACTCTCAATGGGCAGTTTGCATGATAAATCACAAGCTATTTTGGGGTGTTTAGCCCATTGCACTGATAACTGTTTGATGATGAAATGGTCATTCACTAATGTATTGTCAATTTGTAGGTCTAGGGTGCCGTTCTTATGAGGAAAATTAAAACAGTGGATGAGTTGAGCAAAATTAAAGAAGGGGACCCATAGATTTAGCTATCAGAGACCTACCCACAAGACCAAGTTCTCTTCTCCAGGTCCTCTTTTTGTTTCGATTGGCTTCCTGCCTCTTATCAGTCCCAAGAGGACCACGCCAAAAGCATAAACATCAGTTTTATCAGATACTTTCCCATGCTAGAAATATTCAAGAGCCAAATATCTGCACATTTGATTTCAGTTTTCAGTAAATGGAAAGATCAAAGTTTTTTCCCTCTTAAATTTCTGTCAATAGTTAAAATCATACCCAAATGTTCCTTTCACAGTTTTGCAAAGGAAAGGTATTGAAGGTGCCGTGGTCCAAATAGCTAATCCAAAGTCACATAACTGCAAATATTATTGAAATAACTATTTTACTATAAGCTGCTTAATATGCCCAACTACAAGTTCAAAAAATCATTTGAACCTGAAAGAAATTCAAGAAAACAAAACCCTTCCTCACCTTGGGCTTTTTCTTAGAAGAGAGAAGGATGTTTGAGGGCTTAATGTCTCTGTGCACAACACATCTCTCAGTTCAATTATGCAAATACCCGACTGCCTCTGCAATTCCAGCATAAAACCTAAAAGGAAACCCCAACAAGAAAAGAAAACCACTGAATGACTCTGTGACCACAAAATATATTCATAAGTACAAAAAAAAACACACAATCACCAAAGCTCTCCACCATAAAAATTACCGACAAAAAAAATCACCATCTAGCAATAGAAAACACACATGAACCACCAAAACTCAACAAAACTACCTATAAAGACCACTAATCTATTACGAATTACATACAAATACTAGATTCACCTTCTTGATATCTGTTCAGAAAACATCAATGAACACAGATCCATGAGCATCGCCCGAACGCATAAGGCCATTTCATAAATGAACTGCACCCCACACTTCTGATCATCCCAAAATAATCACACAAGACCTAGAACCCTAACATATGAGGTTGCAATATATCAGATCACCCAGAATAGATTAAGCCACAAAGCAAATCCTTTGGGCAAAAATCGATTTAGGGCAAAAAATGGAGAAGGCAGAATGTGTTCACTGCTCAGTCAGTGGTGGAGCCTGTGCATGCTGATGGAGGCTGTGGTCGCTGGTGGACGCTGGTGGATGATTCTCCGATGGTCTTCCTCCTCGGAGAGTGGCTGAGGAGGAATAGAGTGTTGGAGGAGGAGGAAAGAACTGAGTGGTTATGTTCTGAAATTTTTGACTTGATCTATGAAATTTAAGTAGTTGGACTTATCGTTCAAATCGTTATTGCAAATCACGTTTTTTACTCTTTTATTTCTTTAAACATCTGTTAGGCTTCCTTAAAAATTCTTGTTATAAAATATCATTTTAAATGACGATTTTAAAAACGTCATTCGTAATGACGTTTTAGCTAAAAAAAAAATTCATGTTCAAATCGTCATTTCAAATGACGTTTTTAGGGGAAAAGATGTCATTCCAAATGACGTTTTTAAAAAGGATTGAATTTAAAAATTAAATTTTAAAGTGACTGAATTATGAAATTAAGTTTTGAGGGGTACTGGATTTGGGAAAAGCTCCCAACTCAAGGGTTGGAAGAAATAAAATCTATAATAAATATTTGTGGGAGAGATAGAGAAGCTCTTGAATTTTCTAGTAAATATTTGGAATGAGACTATTCTCGCCCCACAAATCTACTTCCCACCCCCATTAACAATTAAACTTTTCTCAATATTTACTTTTAGGGTTTTTTTTTTTATTTTCCATCTCACATTGTCTATAAAAAATATATTTAATTGAATTATCTATTAAAACTGAATAAACAATTATATATAGACTGTGTAATTCGAAGGAGGAGATTTGATGATTTTTTTTTTCTTTTCAAGAAACTTAATTTTAGATGCAACCTCTGTTGGAAATTCAAAGAGGTTTATTTCTATATATTGAAATAATTATGAGTAAAGAACATCCTTTTTTCAACGATTTTCTTCGACCGACGATTAAAAAAGGAAGAAAGAGAATTGCATAATGGAATTGGAGTATTTGTTCCGATAATGAGATTGGACAAAATAGTGATCGGCCGACGCCAGTTGAGGCAAATTTACATGAAAAAAAAAAACTAAAATGGAATCCAGTTGAGTATATTGTGTATAAACCATGAGATGAATACATAAATTTTAAATGTGAACATTGAGATAAATTTTATCATTAATGGAGTGGACATAGAATGAGGTGAACTTAATAACTAGTAGGATGGGTATACAAAGAGCAAATTTAAAAATTTTATGATTTATAATTTAATGGAATCAAAACAAATATTTGTAATGGTGAGAATAGCATCACCCAAATATATGTGCAAGAGAGAGATAAGGGGACCGTTTCTATTATGGACCCTTTTTTAAAATTGAAAAAATTGGAAGGAGGTATATCAAATTAGACTTAATTGTAAAAAAGTACACATAAAAGAATGTTGGGTAATTAAGTCCTTAATTTTGATACTTATTTGTATCTAAGTATATTATTTGAATTTTACTAATTTTTTTATGACATTTTTTGCCATCCATTAATCTATGTGTTTTTCTTTGGAAAGTGGTGCATTAAATATCTCTTGCTTTTATGAAAGGACTTTAATAAATATGTATACTGTTACACTGTTATTGTTACAATATTACACTATTCGGATATTAAATTAATTTAAAAATAAAACCACTTTCCAAAAAAAAAAACACATGAATCAAGATGTATTAAATATAATTTAAAAACAAAATTATTTTTAAAAAAAAAATACGCATGAATCAATGTGCATTAAAGATAATTGAAAATTTAGATAAGAGATTTAACAAGAAGTCTATAATATAAAACATGACTGCTTCAACATCCAACGGCCTCAAATCAATTCATTCATCCAACGACTATTAATACTCTCTCAATTTCCCCCAAAATTCATCTTTTTTAACTCATTTTTATTTTTCAAAATCAGCCCACTATCGGTCACTTCATTTGTCAGAGATGCAGCCTGTGTCGTTAGCTCTCTCTTTTTTTTTTTTCAGACCTCTCTCAGTCCTCTCTCTCTCTCTCTGTGTTGCGCCCCTGCGTCTCCAGCGACCATCCATCGATCAATGTCTCTAGCGACCAGTCCCCCTATGCCATCAAGGTATGTCTATTCTATCTCTATCTTCCCTTTTCTGCTCCTCTTCTTCCCCTCTCTCTACATTTCCCACTTCGTTATTTTAGGCATTGTATATACTGTGTAAACTTGTGGCTTTTATAGATTTTGAATTTATGCTTTCAAACTATTTGTTGTTTTGGCTCAACGAAAGTAAAACATAATTTAGACCCAAACCACATCGGGTTTTATGATGCTGTTTTATTCTTTTTGGGCTTTTTATTTTTGAGTTGGAGATATGATTGGTAGCGCAATAATTCAGATACTCTAGGCTTCTACTGTTTTAGAGGTTTTGAATTTAGGGTTTTTGTTGGTGCTTATGGTTTTAGGGTTATTGTGTGAGGGGCATTTTTAGTCAGCAACATGAGGGGAAGGAATAAGACAGGGCTAGAGACCGTTTGCTTTTTCCAAGCTTTTTCCAAGTGATCTTCCTTGGCCGTCTATTTTTTTTTCCTGGTTTATGCAATCTATTTTTTATTTGTTTTTTTGTAGTTTTTTTTTGGGTGGGGGGGGGGGGGATACCCACAAGTTGGTTATTTATTTATTTATTTGTAAGTTTGGAACTGTTTCAATGTGAAATCATGATTTTCCTAAAAGTGTGAAGTAAATTAGTTATAATACAAATGATTCTGCTTTTTTGATTTGTTTTTTGATAAGAAAAAAAAAATTATATTAATAGATAACATAAAGTTTTACATAAACCAAGCTATGGTGGACAACCCAATCACTTCCATAAACAGAACATAAGCAATACATATCAAAGAACATTCCTAACACATTTGTCAAATTTATTTTATCATTTGTTCATAGTTTGTCAAAAGTGCAAGATTTTTAATGGTCATACACTTGCCTGTTATTTTTTTTAATGGTCCGCTCCCAATTGACTAACAACATTGCTTTCTGTTATTTTTTTTCTTTGTCTATTTTTATTTTTGATTGATTTTTGATTGTTTTGTTTTAGTCTTTATTTTGAGGTTGTTCATCAAATAAGAGGCAACTAAAGCAACACAGACAACTCGAAAGCTCGGTGCTGCACAACTGAACTTTTTTTCTGGTAAGTAACACAGTTAAACATGACTTTTTTTTTTGTGGTCTATTAAGGCTTATGAATTGATGATTTTGCGCTAATTTGGAATTTTTTTGATGAATTTTTTGGGAAGATATTGATAACTACCATTCTACCAAGTGTGGTTTTACTATACTTAATCTTTTAATTCTCATTTGTTGTGACAATGTGGTTTTTTGTGTGGTTCAGCATGTGTGTCCATTCATGACATCATGGGTTTGTGAAGGAGGTGATTAGATTACTGTGGTGGTGTTTTGTTTTGGTTTTAAGTTCTGTACTTTTTCTATCAGAATGTCATTTCCTCTTGAAGAATAATTCTCCATTGAAATCAAGTTTGTTTAAATCCCAATCTTTACTCCTCATTTTTAGGTGCTCTCCGAAGTTGTTTTTATATTCTATTTTTTTTTTCACTCTTTATCTTCCTATTTGTTCACTATGACCATTTACATTTTCTCCTTTACTTGGATGTGTTCACTTGGCATTTTGGTCGCAATCCAGATTTTTTAGTTGGGTTTTATGTTCCTCTTATGTGAGATTTGAGCACATTTAACTTACTGCCTCCCATTATATGTAGAGGTTTATCCTCTTCAATGTTGACACGGTGGATAGCTGAAAAACTCATTGTCCTAATGCATTGACAACATAACGTTAATACATTATTTTTCATCACACATATCATTTTTCATCAAACACCCATTCTCTCTCAAACTCGCACACATCATTACTGCGAATATTGCTTAATGCGCTGAAATTGGTAAAATGGTGACTGAATCTTGCATAATCTTGGAATTTAGTTAGAGTTTTAGTTCCCTCTAAAGAACCAATAATAAAGAGCGAATCTTGCATAATCTCGAAATTTCTGTTAAAACAGATCCTGTACAAAATAAAGAGCGAAACTGTTAAGAAAGAGACCAATAATAAAACAATAACTGTTTTAACAAACAAAACAGTAAATTGTACAAAAAAAAAAGTTAAAACAGATCCTATCCAGCAATTGTTGTTTTGTCCCTGCAGCTCATCTCCAGCCCTCTGATCAAAGCTCTGCAACTTTAGACAGCCTGCAGCCTAGGACCTGATGCATAAGGAAACTACCCCCAAGAGTTGGCTTTAATCCTTCAAGAGAATTAAAGCAATTAATTCAGCTCATGGGAACAAAACACCTCCATTCCCCTGATTAGTGCTTCAATCTCCTATCCTTTCATGCCTTACCCTCCACATTCATCACTTGAAAACTTACTCAAACCCAGATAGATTTTAGAGCATCAACAAACTGCAAGAATAGCAGCAATCCGCTGATGCATCAAACCTTTCTGCACAGTTACATAGATCATCAATCCATAATCCAAAACTCCAGACACTACAAATTCTCATCCAGCTCCAATTCTTTTATCAAACACAACAGTCTTCTTCAATCTAGCAGTAGGTAACCTACCTTGATCTGGATCTGCCCTAGGCAAAACATCACTTTCAGAAAACTCAGAGCATCTGCCAAACATTTGTGAATTGTGTATACGGCTTGACTCTTATGAGGGTTCAATTTTTAACTTTTTTGAAATGACGATTTTTTGTAGTTACACAGTGCCTTCAGGCACATGCATATGTCCATATTTAAATAGTAGGTCCATTATTTACAATTTTTTTATTTG